CCCTCAGCACAGCCGGCCCGGGCAGAGGGCTCCCCCGGCCGGGCCGGGTCCCGCCGTGAGCGGGCTGAAGAGGCGGACGGGGCACAGCCTCCACCCCGAGGCACGGCGGAGCTGGCTCCTGGCAGCCCTCCTCCGCGGGAAACGCAGGAACCCAGTCCAAGGGAGGGGAATCCATTTTCACACAGATCAGGTGAAGCCACTCGCCCCGGCACACGGCGCCGTCGGTGGCAGAGACGGGCAGATCCTAATGGCTAGGCTTCCCACACCCCAAACTGCTATTAAAAGTAACGCAGAGTGGATTTTGGGAGGGATGTTTTTCCACACACACACCTGAAGGTGGGCGCAGTATAAAGGGTGAAGGATACATAAATGACACGCTTGTGCATCCCTAACTCCCGGCTTCCCCGCAATGCCATTAAGCGCAGGGGACGAGGGCTCCGACAGGAGCATGCTGGTTTGGATGCTCTCCGTGATGTGGAAGAGACGGAAATTTTCACGACACGGGTGTCACCTTGCCCTGGCCGGTGTTTCGGCTGGCCCCGGCGCTGTGGTGAGGAGCCGGACCACACGCCGCACCCTGGGGAGTCGGTCCATCCGTCCGTCTGTCCGACGGCACGCAAAGGCAGCACAAGCGCCCAGCCATCGCTGCTGGAAGGGTGAATTAGGGGTCATGCTCAACCCGTTCTACCGATGCTTTTCTACATAATTTTAAGCTTAACACGCCACCACATTTTAACTTCTTTTTTTTTTTTTTCATTTTTTTATAAACATCACCTTTGGAAAGCATTCAGATACCCAATCAGCACAGGGGATTCCACACATACGCACGCACCTACGCGTGTAATACCTGCAGCAGCACAAGGCGTCTGTATGCTGGAGCTCGGTGGCGCTTGCTGAATACGGCCCAGGAGCACCAGGGCCGCAGAGCTCCCCGTTACCCCTCCCACACATCCCCCCAGCAGCCCCACCGCAGGAGCCCTGCCATGGGGCAGGGACGTGCC